TACTAATTCCAGTACAAGGAAATGAATGATCTGAATCTAATAAGATTTAATGCCAAAACAATGCAATGATCAAGGCTTAAGTTTTTATATTCATAAAAATTCATAAGAATTCATAAGAGTTCATTAAAGTTTTTAATTTTTGTAACAGTTATCTATTATCGAGTGGATATAAACCTGCTCCTATGGATCTAAGCTGTATCAAGTTGACTCCATCTCAGGAATCCATGGTTGATAAACTTGCAGAGAATGCTCACAATGTATGGGCAAGAGATCGTATAAGACAGGGTTGGACATATGGAATTCAACAGGTAAGTTCGGACATATTAGAATCTTTATAGTACTCATTATGGAACCAAATGTGTGACAATGGCAAAATGGATAATTGAGTTTTACTTTTTTGATTTCAAGTTAATTGATACATTTTTCAGAACTAAACCTTTCAAAAGTGGAGATATGGACAAAATGAGGAAAACAAACTCTCCTTCCCTATTGTGTCATCACAATAATGTTTCCAATGTCAAGCAAAAATGGATACTGTACAGTATCAATTGATACATGTCATTGTGCATTATATTAAGCTTGCTAACATAATTGTAGTAAACTCACTAACACTATCATTTATTAGCTAATAAAATACCCCACAGTGCCCTACAGAATGTACAGTGGGTTATTTTATTAGTTAATAACTGGTAATAGTTAATTAACACCATGAAAAATTGAATAGTTGGGTACACATAAAGTTGTGCACATACATACAAATACACACACAAATAGCTGAACATCTTGTAGAATTTGATCCAATATTCACACCTGTTGAATTAGTTTTAAATTGAGTTTTTATTTAAAGTATTGGCCAATCCCCCTATTAGGAATATTTGTTAAGGGCCATTTCATCTGTTCCTAAATGTGTTGAATAGCCTCAGGAACCTACTTGATTTTTCCTTCCAGGTTGGTGCAGATCTATTTACAGTATTAGAAAAACGAGGTGTTAAAGTCTTTTAAATTATCTTTCATAATGTTTATATTGTATAGGATGTGAAGAACCGTCGAAATCCTCGCCTTGTCCCCTATACACTTCTAGATGATCGCACTAAGAAATCAAACAAAGATAGTCTCCGGGAAGCAGTTCGTACTCTCATTAGCTATGGATATAACCTTGAAGCTCCAGATCAAGACCACGGTACTGAAATTATATTGAAACAGTTTTTAATATATTATTATATATGCTATTAATTCAAGGAAGGTGAGAATGTTCAATTTTTAATTTTTAATTCTACTTTAACTTCCCAAAATAAATTCATAATTATTTTTATATTTCTAATTATTTTAATTTTTTTTTGAGTCAAACAGAACATTAACAATTTTGAAACAGTGCCAAACAGAATAACAATTATAATAAAATTGACCAAAAAACTCACTGGAAATATGTTAAAAAATGCAACATACAGATAGTCACATAACTTTATATTTAAAGGAAACTCCCTCCATCCAAATGCTCCGTTAAAATATTTCTATCAATCAATTAGAATAGAGAGCTGGATGGGGCCTTGGAGGTCTTCTAGTCCAACTCCTGCTCAAGCAGGAGACCCTACACAATTTGAGACAAGTGGCTGTCCAGTCTCTTCTTAAAAACCTTCAATGATGAAGCACCCACAACTTTTGAAGGCAAGCTGTTCCTTCAGCTCAGTTCCTTGAGCATTCCTTTTGAAATACAGCAAGGTAATTATCAGTATTTCCTTTGTTGACCTCTCTTTTTTTGAAGTTCCCTTCCTTGGAAAGTAAATAACATTGGCATAATCTAGAGTGGATGTTTACATGTAGTAAGCATTTAATCAACAAAAGAAAAATTGTCTCATTCTAACACACTTGGGTTGTACTTGTGAATGGCTACCAGGACAAATAATGTCAAATCTGCTAAGGCTTCAATCCATTTCAAAAATGGGTAAATGTAGTTCTTTTGTCCATTATTTGACTTTTTTTTTCTCTTTTGAAAAAAAAATGGACTTAAGAATTTTGTAAAAAGGTTCTAAGGCTTGCTAAGGCTTGAAGAATTGTTGAGAAAATAAAACACTTTTTCTTGCCTTTCCTTTTGACTGCCAGTCTGATAAAAAGGACCCTAACTTTTCAAATCAGCACTGATGGTGTTACCTAGTTCAGGTAATGAAATGTCTGCAAGAAAACAAGCAAGCTCAGAAAGCACCAAAGACCCCCTCATCTCAACCCTGAGCTACACATATTCTCCTTTATTAGTACCACAGCTATACCAAACTTTTAAAAAATTAGATAATGTGATTTAATTTTTATATAAAATATATATATCCTTAAATTTTTAACTTTTGCAGCTGCAAGGCCAGATGTGCTTGATGGCATGATAGAAAGGTTCAGGATTTTCCGAACAGAAAAAACATATGCTGTAAAAACTGGGAAGTGGTACTTTGAATTTGAGGCAGTAACCGCTGGAGATATGAGAATTGGCTGGGCCAGACCAGGTTGTCAGCCAGAGCAAGAGCTTGGCTCAGATGATCAAGCATTTGTATTTGATGGTTTCAAGGTACGTGTACATTTTTTTGAGACAGCCTTGCAGTGTCTCTCTTGGTTTTTCCATAGAACTTCAGGACCTATCATTCAAAGAATTGAATTGAGACTTAGAGGGTTAGATACAGATCTACATCTGAGTTATAGGTAGTCCTTGACTTAGAACAGTTCACTTAGGGACTCTTCAAAGTTACAGCGGCACTGAAAAAGTGACTTATGACCATTTTTCATGCTTATGACCATTGCAGCATCCCCGTGGTCATGTGATTGACATTTGGATGCTTGAAGACTGACATTTATGATGTCCCGGGGTTATGTGGTCACTTTTTGCAACCTTTTGACAAGCAAAGTCAATGGGGAAAAACCAGATTCACATAACAACTGGGTTACTAATTTAACAACTGCAGTGATTTCTGTAACAAATGTGGCAAGAAAAGTTGTAAAATGGGGCAAAATTCGCTTAACAAATTTCTTACTTAGATAAATGTTGCACTCAGTTGTGGTCGTACATTGAGTACCTGTACTGCCTCTAGTAGAGCATATATAAAACTTAATTAGTGTGGGATAAACACATTTGTTGTCAATTCTAACATTGAGGTAGTAGATTTTAGTAGGTTTTCTGAACCTCCCTGACATTTCAGATAGGAAAAAGAATAAAAATGAGCATGTTTGCCCTTATGTCCCCTTCCATAAAGTGTGGTATTATCTAATAAGTGCATTGTTTTGGCAAGTGGATTGTAATTTGTGTGTTAAAACATAACAAAACTATGTTATGAGATTTGTCCTTTCGGTAAGTGGAATCTGCAGTATGGTGAATGTAAAGGTTGGAAGGCACCTTACAGATGATCTAGTCCAGGGGTGTCAAACTCTATTTCATTGTGGAACACATCAGGATTGTGTTTGACCTCGGGGTAGTGGTGGTGATTGCGGCCAGGGTGGGTATGGCCGGCTCAGTGTCACTCGTGTTGGTGTGCCTGTGGTGCCCTGAGTGCTCTGCCAGTAAAATCTGAGCCCAGGAGGGCCACATGCAACCCAAGCTCGTTTTTGCTGGCAGAGAGTTGAAGGAGGCCGCTGAAAACGGATCTTGGGAGGGCAGCGTGTGGCCCTCCAAGCTCTGTTTTCACTGACAGAAGCACTGTGGGCTGGTCCTTCACTGTTTCCAAGGCAGCCCAGTGGGCCAGATCGAAGCACCCTGTGGGTCGGATCTGGCCTGTAGGCCTTGAATTTGACACCCCTGATCTGGTCCAAGCTTCTAGCCATATAGGAGTCCACTATCACAGTTGTCCACATGTCTTGGGAAGAGAGGGGTTTGCTGCTTCTAAAATAATGGAGATCTCTTTTTTCTTTTTAAAAGGAGTAACAGTAAGATTATTGAGAATAATATATAAATTATTTGCCAAAAACGTTGAGTGTTGCTGATTCTCTAGAAACTTGTGGCACAGTTGTGTTTTAAAAAATATTTTTATGTTATTAATTGTAAGATTTACAATTGATATCTACTTATAGAGCTAAATATTTTTAAAGAATCCTAAAATAATAGTTTATGTTATGAAATCTTTATTACCTAGGCCCAGAGATGGCACCAGGGAAATGAGCATTTTGGCCGTACTTGGCTAACAGCAGATATTGTGGGATGCATGGTAGATCTGAATGAGCACACCATGATGTTTACGCTAAATGGCGAAATCCTTCTTGATGACTCAGGTTCTGAACTTGCATTTAAAGATTTTGAGGTTGGTGATGGTAAGTTCTTGAGCAAATTTGTGCTGCTTTCTGGCTGCCTTAGCAAGTTTTTCTTTGCTGTTTTTAAAACCAGCCATTCGTTTATTTCAGCCAAAGGTTATGGTTCAGAGACAAGATTTATCTCAAGAATTCTATGTCTGAACCATCAGCATTCTGGGATTATGTTATTGAAATGTGGTAGCAAAGTGGTTGGATTTTGGTGCAACAATAACTGCTAGTTTGGGATGGTTTTAAGTATACAAATGCAGTCAGTTTGTCTTGGGAGCTCCAGTAGTTACAATCATTAACAACTTCTATCTTAAATTTGTCCAGAAAAGAGAGTGCACCACACATCTGAGGATGTCATAATGTATCAACGATGTATGTGGTCCTTCAGAAGATCAAGAAGCTGAATTATGGTCCTTGACTTATCAGACATTGCCTACATCTGATTTAATTGTATATCATCAGGGCAGGCAGCTGACCTCTTCCATAGTAAATCTGCCCAGGGCAATAGATAAATCCATTAGATTTTATCATATAGATAAGGTCTGGTTTCTGGACAGATTAGTAATAGCCTGGGGTGCTGAACAATTACTTGTGCAGCTAGAGAATGAATGAGTATCGTAAGGCTTCTTTTATATTTCTGAGTGTTGTTCAAAGAAACATAGAATTAGAAGGGACCATTTAGACCATCAAAGTTGCATGCCTGCTCAGTGCAGGAATCCAGATTAAATAATCTCTGATAGATTTTTGTCCAAGCCAGTCTGAATTAATGAAGAACTCACCATGATTGTAGGTAATTGATTTCAGTACTGAATTACTCTCGCTATTAGGAAATTTTGGTTGGATAATTGATTGCAGACTCTAACAATAGTATCATTTCCTTCTCCCACTTATTTTATCCTCTGTACTCAACAGTACCACAACAAACTGCATATTTTCTTATTCATATCGGTGGAATATATTGTGTGTTTTAAAGACTTGATTGGAGTTGTCTAGTTTATAAGGAAAAAGCAAATTAAGTACATGTGAACAGTTGTTAATATTTATTATTTACATATCATATATGTCATTTTTGCAGGCTTTATACCTGCCTGTAGCCTGGGATTGTCACAGGTGGGCAGAATGAACTTTGGCAAAGATGTTAGCACTTTGAAATATTTCACTATTTGTGGCTTACAAGAAGGCTATGAACCTTTTGCTGTGAATACAAATCGTGACATTACTATGTGGCTGAGCAAGAGATTACCTCAGTTTCTTCCAGTACCAGCAAATCATGAACATATTGAGGTTTGAATCTTTAATTTATTTTGGAGATTGAACATAGTAAGTGGTAGTAGTTAATCTAGTATGTAGTATGTATGTGTGTGTGTGTGTGTATGTGTATGTGTGTGTGTGTGAGCTTTGGAAGCCATATTCCACGCTGCCACATAACCTGAGAAAGTGGGAGGTGGGTTGATTTCAATTAAGTAACTCTAAGTAGACAAAATAAAATTCTTTTGTTAGTTCAAGGTCATTTAGTATGGCTCAGGATGAAATAAGGATCTTACTTTTGGACGGATTGTGATTGGGCCATGTGATGCGATGACGACCAAGGGGCGGGGGGATGGATTTGTAGTTTGGGAAATGGTAGAAAGCCCAAGAACTTTTAGATTCGAGATTCCACAGATGTGCCAGGTGGTATTCTAATAAAGGTACTTTTGATTGAAATAGAGGTTTGCTGGAACGCTGACAGTGTGCGTATGCACACATAATAATAATGATGAATCATTCCATATATTTGACATCCTTAAAATTATATATTTATAATTGGACAATAGATAACTTTTTTGTTTGTGAGTGCAGGCTCACAAAAAAGGCTAAAAAAAAAAAAATCTCCACACCACAAGCCAAGCAAACACCTGGGCACAAACAGACGCCCCTTGATATCCCCAGCTCAAACACACCCCAACCAGGCACCCAGATGAAACCTAGCTTCCTAATAAATGATAGCCATCCATTTACCCGAAGCCAAGCCGCACTAAAAGCCTCCAAAACAGGAAACACAATGTTGCCAGCCAATCAAGACAAAAAAAAATATGCTACAAAACAGACAGAAGAGATTAGAAACACCAATCAAGCAGAACACAGCAAACTCCAAGACCAATAAACACAGTCCAAGACTCCCAACCAATCAGGATGAAGAAGAAAAAATCATTCTGGCACAGCAGTAGGCTAGCACCAAATTTAAAACAGAAACGGCTGTGAAAGCCTGACTCACAGACGAACACAATACACAAGCCTGATGATGGCAGATGAGATTCTGCCGAAATGTTGCTACAACTTTAAAAGCACAACTATAATGACGTGGGAAAATACCCGAACAGAGCTGAATACCATACATATAAATACCCGTGAAAACTTAAGAAAACAAATATATATGTATATGTATATGCTGTCAAATATATGGAATATATTATTATTTTTATATTATTATATAAATATATTTTTATATTATATATTATATATTATATTATATTATATTATATATTATATTATATAATATATTATTATATTATTTTATAATAATAATACTATATTATTATCCTGTCTACATATTTACCTTAAAATGTAGAATGTAAAATTAAAGAGATAAACTAGCATATTTCTTATTTGTAAGCCCAAAGACTTTAAGTTAAAGAGAAAAAGCAGAATTTTATTTGTATCCATAAATAATTCTTAATCCACCTACATATTTTTATAACAAAATGTTGTTGTCTTTCAGAGTCCAATATTAGGTTAATAAAAAAATTAAAAGCAATAGGCTGAAATTATGCCTCTTACTCTCTACAAGAAATTTTTTAGTAAGTAATTTTATCTTGCTTCAAGATAGACAAGGTCAGAAACAGGAATCATTAAGGGTCTTAGAATGTACTCTAATGCAATCAGCATATTAAAACAGAATCTTGAAAGCTTGTCAAAGCCTGATTCTAACCTATATCTAATGTAATTAAAACAGAGTTGTGTATTAATCTAATATCAGGCTCTTTTTCACATTTTCTAGTTTTGTAGAACTCATATCTTTTCTGTAATGGTGCTTCATTCTCCTGCCCCTTCTCTGAGTCAAACCTACATTTCATCACACCTGCCACAATATTACAGAGGACAAGAATAAACATATATTTATTTATATACTGTAAGAAACCATTAAGCATAAGTAAAGACAACATTTTGTTTTATTTTCCATACATTTTACAATTGAGTTTTTGTACTTCATAGGTTACAAGGATTGATGGAACTGCAGATAGTTCACCATGCTTGAAAGTCACACAGAAGTCCTTTGGATCTCAAAATAGCAAAACAGACATCATGTTTTATCGTCTAAGCATGCCCATTGAATGTGCAGAAGTGTTTTCTAAAATGCCTGGAGGAGGAATGCCAAATTCTAATCTTTTTGGCCCAAAGAGTGATTTGGATGATTATGATGCAGATTCTGATTTTGAAGTTCTCATGAAGACTGCTCATGGTCATCTTGTACCTGACCGTGGGGAAAAAGAAGCTGCAAAATCTGAGTTCAATAACCATAAAGATTATACACAAGAGAAACCTTCACGCCTCAAGCAAAGGTCAGATAGTTTGATCTCTTCAAACTGTTTCACACACTGTTCGCTTTCAAGGATACAAATCAATGTTTTTCTTGCCATATTGTCAATGAATTTCATTGTGATGTCTCCTGAATAAAAAGGATAGCAATTTCTGTTTTTAAATTTTTGCTTTCTCTATGTTCCAGCATTTCTGTTCATGAAATATAAATGAAACATAAACAAATTTGTATAAAATGTTTAACAACTATAAGTCTGCAAATGTAAAGAGATACTTGCTGTCCTGACCCTGAAAGATATTATCTGATATTAACAACTGTACACTTTGACCCAGTGTGTAAAAAAGGGCCAGTTTGAATTGAGTGAATATCTTGATAGCTTTAAATTCAGCCTTAGTCGATGGAAGATACAGAATTATTCTGAATCAACTGATATAAAAAAGATGTATTCACTCTTTTTCATTTTTATACAATACAGATTTATGCTGAAAAGGACGAAGCCAGACTATAGCACAAGCCATTCTGCAAGACTGACTGAAGATGTCCTAGCAGATGAAAGAGATGATTATGATTATCTAATGCAAACCTCTACAGTATGACAATTTAGTGTTAATATTTCCATTAAGGATAGATTAAAATTATCAAATATGATAGAACGGTATTATATATTAACGGCATATCTCTATGGAACAGAAATGATTGGACTTGTCTTAAAGACTTGCTGTTAAGCTGGAAGCCTAAACTAATATTTCATGGGAATAAATTTTCATTTATAATATATTTATAAATGACTAATATAAATGACTAATAAAGCAGTCCATATCCTCAGTTTGATTTTGTAGGAACATGAGTTAGTCCCACTTGGTAGACTATATCAGAAAATTTTAAAGTACCTTTATTGAAATTAATTACAATAACAGAATGTTACAGATCTGATTATGCTGTTCCCCGCCCTCCTCCCATGCCCTATCCTTCTTATGCCCCCATGAATTGAGGAGACTTCCAAATATTATCTTCTTTCCCATTTGCCTATGTAATGGTTTTTGCTTATTTCCATTAAGGTCATCTTCCTTACTTTCTATGCCATCTTTCCAGGTAGCATCAACATATCTGGAAGTGATAAGCAATATAGTTGAGGCTAGTTGACTTATTTCAGGTGATGATTTTCATCCATGTCTACGAACCTCAATCCTGCCATATAGGCACTGAAAATTTTGTAGAACAAATTATTATTTTACCACAGTATTACTGTTAAATAACTTTTTACCTTTTAAAAAGCTGCCATAACTGTCAATAGCTTCTATAAGCAAAAGAATATGGATATTTTAAGTGCATTTGATATAACATATCAAATAGATCAAATTAAGAATATGTGACACCATGAAATTTAAAAAAAAATAGTATGCTAATTTTATGACTTTTTTGCAATAGTTCTTAATCATGCGGTCATTAAGTTAATCTGGGTTCTGTTGGTCACTTTGGTTGTCAGAAACGCCTTAGGAAGGTTGCAAATGATAATCCCAGGACCCCAGAACACCTGCAATCATTGTAACTAGATACCAGTTGCCAAGCACCTGAAGTTTGATCACATAACAGTCATGTGTGAGAACTAGTCATAAGTCACTTTGTTCAGTGCTATTGAACAGTCACTAAAAGAATGGTTGAAAGTCAAGGACTACTCATATTAATGAAAAATGTATTTAGGAACAGAAAGGTAAAAATAAATAAGCCATTAGTAGTTATTTTTTATTTTTATGTTTTCTGATGTAGGGAAATCCCAAAACATGTCCCTTCAGGAATTTTTGCAAATCATTAGAAAAACACAGCTGGCCTTTGCGTGTGTGGGAGCGCCGGAAATCTGAAGACCAGCTCCCTGGTACACATGCATGTGCCGGCCAGCTGGTCTTCACGCATGCATGCCAATTAGAAACTGGAAGACCAGGTGGCTGGGGTGCATGTACGTACCAGAAAGCTGAGCTTCCAGTTTCTGGCACTCACGCGTGCTGCGCCAGGGAGCTATTCTTTTGGTTTCTGTTGCGCGCGCATGTGCTCCCGTTTCGGGACCAAAAAGGTTCGCCATCACTGGAATAGAGGCTTAGCTCCAACAACCTAATTAAGAATAAATTATTAAATGATTGCACTTAGCACAAGAGCTATGGTAACTTCTGCTGAGAAAATTGCATTGTCTGTTGGTCTCAGAATTTAACTGTTTGCAAAACAAATAATTAACACGTGGAACTTAGCTAAGTACCAAAAGGTTAGTGAAGAGCTTTCAGGTGATGCTCTGCCACCTGTGGAGCCAGCATTAGGAATCAACAAGCATGTTACCAGGATCAACTTTTTTCCTGATTGTCCAAGATAAATGAATCCCTAGAAGAGAGGTATAACTTTCACAAGCCCGAAAAGCATTTCTTTCTTTCTTTCTTTCTTTCTTTCTTTCTTTCTTTCTTTCTTT